GCTGTTGGACAGTGGGATGAGTTGCAAATAACCTACAAATGTTTTCAAACGTAAGACCAGCTAAACAACATTTGTTAGCTTGGCTAATGGACAACAGTCTGCTGTTAAAGGGGAAGATAAAGTTTATGTACCTGATATTGGAGAAACATTGGATAATGTATTATATGTACCAAAGTTAGACCATAATTTACTTAGTATTTCGAGTTAGATAATATGGGGCATGAAGTACTGTTTGCAAAGGGTCAGTACACCATCAGAAAAGGTGGGAGGATTTGTACACAATGTATTAAGCTGGATAATTTATACATGTTAGGAAAGCAGCAGAATGATTGTGCACAAACACTTACAAACACTCCCACGCATGATAATTGTGTACATTTATTACATAGGAGATTAGGTCATGCAAGTTTTAGAGTGCTGTAAGGATGCCAGACCTAGCTGAAGGACTACACATTAAGCAATGCAACACATATTTAGATTGCGCAATTTGTAAGGAGTCCAGGTCCAGAGTGTATCCTGTAAGTAAGAAAAGCTCAAGGCAAACAGAGTTTTGCAGATAGTGCACACTGGTTTAAGTGGTCCTATGGCGCCCTCTCTAGGAGGGGCTAGGTACGTACTAGCCTTAGTAGATGACTACACCAGATATGGGTTTTGCTATTTATTAAAGAGGAAAACAGAAGTTCTACAACAGCTCAAACAATGGGTGAACTGTGTAGAGCGAAGACGTGGACATAAAGTATGCCAGCTGCAAACAGGGGAACAGAATTCATGTCTGACAATTTCCAAAAGTGCCTGAGAAACCTAGGCATAAGCATAGATGTACGAATCCGTACTCAGCAGCAGAAAATGAAGTGGCTGAACGGAGGAATGGCGTATTGCAAACCATGAAAAACTCACTGCTAGCAGATATAGGAATGAGTAAAATGTACTGGGGGAAAGCCATGAAAACAGCCAACTATCTAATAAACAAGGTATGGAATGTTGCTATCAATGAAACTCTATATTACCTGTTATATGGAAGGAAACCTTCATTGGCTCACCTAAGGACATTTGGCAGTTATGCTTGGGTGCATATTGCCAAAAGTACCAGAAGGAAGGGACAGAAAAAGGCCAGGAAACTTAGGGTTGTTGGATAGGAGCTAGGTTTCAAAGGTATAGATTCACAGATGGAACAAAGAAAGTTGTTCTTTCAAGGTCTGCTAGTTTTGCAGAACAAAACAATTGGGACAGGGTGCATGCTAACCCTGAGCTGTTCATGCCAACACATAGAGCTATTTCTCAGGAAGGAGAGGCTACACCAAGCCCAATGAAGGAAGAACAGAATAGCATGTCAGAATTAGTAAGAATAGAAGAGGGTAAACCTGAAGTAAAGAGAGAAGTCGCAGAAATACAGAACAGATGATACCAAAGAGGTCTGAAAATAGCAATAAAGGCATACCTCTGATCGGTTCTCAGCAAGTGGGGTTAGAGCATATAGTGTAAGGTATGAACCCCATAATTACCAAGAGATGTTATCATTGCCTAACGTAGAACAGGATAAATGGAAGGAAGCTATGGACAGAGAAATGGAGTCTATGAATATGCATCAGGTGTTTACCCTTATGAGATTAACAGAAGGACAAAAGGCCGTGGGGTGTAAATGGGTATATAAAAAGAAGGTTTTACACAATAATGAACAGTATAAGGCACAATGGACCTAGGACTAAGGATAAGGCCATCTGAATGCTTATCATTACAATGCTATGTAGACAGTGACTGGGCAAATAATATGCATGACAGAAAGTCAAACTCAGGGTTTGTGATATTGTTTGCTGGCATGTATAAAGATGGCAATGGGAGAACGTATCAGAAACAGAAGCAAACATGTAGACATAAAATATTGTAACGTCAGGGAGGTTGTAAAGAATAAATTGATAAAGTTACAGCATTGTTCCACTGACATCAATATAGCTGATATGTTGACTTAAGTATTTAAATACAGGCAAGCATTAAGAGTATGTAAAAGCATTTGGGTTAACAGCTGTTTAGCTTTAAATGGGAGGAGTGTCAAGGTATTGATTTAACAGCTAACCAGCTTATGTAATGTATGTAATGATGGAAATGATTCAGCAGGGTCTGTGTCTCTTTAAGAGCCTTTGTATAAAGGGAAGGCTCTGCTGATGTATTCCTTCTTCTGTTTCCTGCTATAACTGTGGTTTGTTGGATCCTGCTATATTAGCTCATGTATATATATTGTTCCTGGTGTATGATATTGTAGATTGTGTAAGATAAACCACCATTTACTATAACCCACTGTTTACTGTGTTTACTCCTGGGTTATCTCACACAATAAGACTGTGCAGATTCTGACACAGCTTATATTTAATTCTTGGTTTTTTACTTTGCCAAATAAATTTAGATATATCTTTCCACTATTTGAAAGTGGAATCTTTAATCAATATCAGTATAGTCTGAAACAGAAATAACATTCTAGGTAGTACATTCATTTTAATTACTGAAATTCTTCCCATTGATGACAAATCTAATTTTTGCCTTCTATTTAAATCCAATTTTATCTCCTTCTATATTTTACTGTAATTATTTTTGTAAAGCTTAGAATTTTCCTCAACAAGAGTCATCCCCAAATACTATACCCTTTTCACAACTTTAAAACCAGTTTTAAATTCCAATTTCTTCCGATCTTTCACCTGTATGTTCTTAGTCAGTCTTTGATTTATTTATTCTTAAACCTGCCATTTCTCCAAACATTTTAATCTTCCTCACAACATGTTCAATGCTCTCTAATGGGTCTTGCACAGTCAAAACCAAATCATCAGGAAATGCACATAATTTTTAATTATGTACTTTAATTTGTAGGCCCTTTCCTGTCTAATATCTCTATTTAACAGTTCCAACATTAGAATAAATAATAAAAGGGATAAAGGACACCCATATTTTATTCCCTTCTGGATTTCAACTGGTCTCCATTCACTACTTTAAACATAAAGGCCCTGTTCAAATTGTCAAAAGCTTTTTCTGCATCCAGAAAAATTAATGCAACCTGTTTGTCGCTACATTGTTGTAAATATTTAATTATATTCAAAATTACTCTTACATTATCATTTAGTTGTCTTTTAGGTAAGAAGTCACTCTGGCCTTCATGTATATATTCCAGTAAAACTTTTTTAAGTCTTTCAGTTAAAATACATATAAGATTCCTCCATAGTATCTAAAGAGTTTTCTAGTTCTTTATATAATTGGTATAATAATTCTAAAAAAGTTTTTGAATGTTTCTGTTAGCCATATAAGTCTTATTCCTCTCTTGAAGCTTCTTTTCTTAGTTTGTATGCCAACCATCTCCCTGGTTTATTTGCATGTTCAAAAAAATTGTTTCATACATTTAAATTTCTTTTCAATTTCTGAAAAAGTCAACAAAGAAATTTGTTGTTGCAATATTTTTAGTTGATTAAGTATCATAGAATCCTCTGGTGAGTTCTGGAGTTTCCTCTCCTTTAATTTAATTTCTTATAACACATTTTAGATTTTTTCATCCACCCTCCTCTTAATTGCTCTATTGTATTGTATAAAATGTCTTCATATCACAGCCTTACAAGCATCCCAAACTGTTGTCAAATTGGTTCCCTTACCTAAATTATTATTAAAATAGTCTTGAAGTACCTGTTTATATTCTTTAACGATCTGTGGTCTCTGTAAAATAAATTCATTTAATCTCCATTTAAAAGACTGAGGACCAAATTTAAGATGTAAAGACACTGGATTATGGTCAGAAAAAGGTTTTGAAAGAATAATGGCTTTAGTTGCTTTATGAAGCAGATTTTTTGTAATCCAGATCAAATTGATTCTAGAAAAGGATTTGTCAAATGTCAGGGTTCTGACTGATGGAACTGAATAAATCAGAACTCCAGGGCACCAGATTTTCTCAAAGAACATGTTTGTTGGATACATAATATTGGCACATTCAAATGTGAAACCAAATCTAAAATCCCCCCCCAAGGATTCAGTGTAATAATTCCCAGCCCCCTATTTAGCTATAAGTCACATTCTCCAATAGAACTATTTGGCAGACTCTCTAACAGAACGTCCTTCCTTCTCCATTATGGTGTGGGAATGACCTTGGTTCCCACAGGATCTACTCATGTTTAGACTAGCAGAAATACTTCGTCCCCCCTCCCTTTCTTGTGGCAACCTAGAATGACAAATATGGCTGCAGCTAGGTTCATTGTAGAGTTGACAGTAAAGTCTTTTGTTAGTCCATTTTTACACCTCCAAACTTCGATCAAACCTAAAGTATCGATCAGCTCGAAAAAAGTTGGGGGCAGTTTCCCTTGTGTTTCTTTAATTCCTTTATCAGCTGATCTATCCAATTGTGGGGTTACTACCCCACTGTAGCCATCACAAAACATACTGACCACACAAAGCTCTTATAAACAGAAGAACACTGATATCCCCTAAACTCTGCTGAAGATGTTACCTAGCCTGGTAACGAAACTTTTGGAAACCAACCCACAAGCTTGGAGAACAAACCTTCATCCTTATCCTACTTATTTCACTGAGATCTTCCCTTAGAAAGATGTGCCTTTTCACTAGAGCTTGTGCAGAAGCTCACAGAGCTTGTTTTCATTTAGGTAAAAGTTTATTACATATAATCCCATACATTTTTTAAAACATGAAGTAAACAATTGTATAGATAAACTATGAAGCCATTTGCCAGATATACTTACATTCTTAAGGAACCAAAACCAAAAATGAATTGTGATGGAACAATGTTTTAAAATTCTTTAAATTTGCTATGTGCGTAATTGGCTTTGGTTTTTAAACAATTTACTACAATTAACAAGTTTTCTTTCCTCTTTATGTTTCATATTCTTGTGTTTTGTATTACTGTACACCAAACTTTTTTATTTTTTGTGATTTAAAAATCATCTCTCTTTATCTCTGTTATTATCAAAGGTCATATTTGTCTGCAGCAGGAAAAATTAGTGCCTTTTATATTTTGTTAGGTGTTTGAAATGCTTATTAATCCTGGAGATAACATTCTTTTGGATGCCCCCACTTATCCTGGGACGATAGCTGCTGTGAGTATTCCACAAATCTGGAATATTGTGATGGAAAAAAGATTTAGATTTGCTTCTACCTATTTAGGTCTTGCTCCCATTTATACCAGGCTGTCATTTCTTAAATTTTTGCAAAACTAGGAAAGAAAGGAGGAAAATATTTCCAGTAAAAACTAATTAATTTGCATTTCTTGAACTAACCTTCAAAATAGTGAATAATTATTCTTCAGTTTTGCAGTTTTTCAGGTTCTATAACATGATTTTCCAAGAAAAAAAATCTATGAAGAGGTTTGTAATTTGGGAAACCATTTAGTAATAGGAAAGAGCATGCAAAAATTAGAAAATGTTGACACAATATTTCTTGCAATGTTTTTCATTATACATCTAAAGGCAGGGGCTATATAAAACCTGAATTCATATAAAATATAAAATTCATTTGTAACTTAATGAATGGATGACTACTTACTACAGAAAGAGAAAAAGTTTTCTTTAAAACTTTTGCTGTGATTGTTTACACATTCTATTATTCTCTAATCACTTCACTCATATTGAAATTACAGTCTTATTGATGGATATGTGAAACAGATGTCATTTCTTTTTTTTTATTTATTTATTGAAAATTTTTATAAGTTTTTACAAAAAAAACAGAAAAAATACAACAATACAAAAACAGAAAACAACATAACATCCCCTTCCCCATCCCCCCCCCAAACACACACACCCTTCCCCCCCCCTAAGCTTCCCAGAGCAGAATATAGGCTTAATTAAAAAAGAATTAAAAAAATTATATATAAAAAAGAAAAAAGATTTAAGACTAAAATATATGTATATGTATATAAAAAATAAAAATTATGAAAAAGCAATATAATATTTTTTATATCCAATTTAAATTGTATAAATTCTATCCATTTATCCCAAACAGCAAGAAATTTCTCTTGCGTTTGTTCCTTTAAGAAAGCCGAAATCTTTGCCATTTCCGCCAAATAAGACACCTTAAAAAACCATTCCTGCAGTGTAGGCAAGGATTCCTTCTTCCAATATTGTCCTACTAACAGCCTTGCGGCTGTAATCAAATTTAACATCAATATAACCTCCTTTGTATCACAATCAGTAACTATACCCAACAAAAATAACTGCGGAGTAAATTTTACCCTCCTTCTGAAAATTCTCTGAATATTCCACCATATCTTAATCCAAAATGCTTTTATCTCTCTGCACGACCACCAAATGTGGTAATAAGTGGCATCCAAGCAGCCACATCTCCAACATTTAGGCTGTAGGTCCGGGTACATGAAAGACATTTTTTGTGGGTCAAGGTGCCATCTATAAAACATTTTATAAAAATTCTCCCTTAAGTTCTGTGCCTGTGTAAATTTGACATTTCTTACCCAAATGGTTTCCCATGTATCCAATGGGACTGGTTCACCAAAGTTTTGAGCCCATCTAATCATACAATCTTTAATTAATTCCGTTTCTGAATCCAATTCAACTAGCACCCCATAAATTCTCTTAATATGGGCTTGTCTTTGATCCTTCACTTGCTTAATAAGATTTTCATCTTCTCTAAGAAGGCCCACCTTACAATCCACCTTCCATCTATCTGCTAATTGCCTGTATTGAAACCAAGAATAAGTAATATTTTCTTGAGCTAACTCCTCCCGTAATTTTAATTGCCAATTTTGTCCATCCCATCTGAGTAGCTGTCTGTAAGACACCATGTCCATTTTAACACCTCTTTTTATTCCTTCTATCGCATGCCAGGGTATAGCCCATAATGGTACTTTAAAATCACTTTTATAATATTTTCTCCAAATCCTAAGTAAAGAAGTTCTTATAATGTGAGATTTAAAAGCCCAATCCACTTTTTTATTGAATATTAAATAGGCATGCCACCCATAAAGTAAGTCCCATCCCTCTAGATGGAGTATCTCGAGATTTGTCAAATTTACCCAGTCACTAATTAGTGTTAAAACCACCGCATCATAATATAATTTCAAATTCGGTACCTTGAGTCCACCTCTCTCACGGAAGTCTTGCATAATTTTAAACTTAACCCTTGGCTTTTTCCCTGCCCAAATAAATTTGTTAACACCCTTCTGCCATTCACTTAGGTTAGTCTCATTCTTCAAAATCGGTAACATTTGAAACAAAAAAAGAAACTTGGGTAGAATATTCATTTTTATCACTGCAATTCTTCCCATGAGAGATAATTGCAGCTTCTCCCAATTCCTCAAGTCTTTCTGTACACTAACCCACAACCTGTCATAATTATTTTTAAATAATTTTGCATTAGAAACAGATAGCATCACCCCCAAATATTTTACCTTATTAACAATTTCAAAACCCGTCAAGTTAGCCAGAGTCTGCTTCTCCTGAATAGTCATATTTTTAGGTAGGATTTTAGTCTTGTTAACATTAATCCTAAAACCCGAAACCAAACCATATTGATGAGTTAACTGTAATAACTTTACTGCAGAACTAATAGGTTGCGACAAGGTAACCACCAAGTCGTCTGCAAAGGCTCTTAACTTATATTCTTTTTTATTAACTTCTATTCCTTTAATTTCCTGCGAATCTCGAATTTTGATCAACAATATTTCCAATGTTAAGACAAACAACAACGGTGATAGTGGACATCCTTGCCTAGTACCTTTCTCTATTGTAAATACCTCTGACAAACCTCCATTAACAATAAGTTGTGCCGTTTGTTTTTGATATATTACCGTAAGAGCTTGTAATATCTTTTCACCAAAATTCATCTTTTCAATTACTCTTAACATAAACTGCCAATTCAATTGATCAAAGGCTTTTTCAGCATCTAAAAATATTAGCCCTGCAGGGACTTGGTTATTCTTGTCTAAATATTCTAACAAATTAATGATTTGTCTAACATTATTTTTCATATACCTACCAGTTATAAACCCAGATTGATCTTTATGCACAAGATGGTGCACAACCCTCATAAACCTATTTACTAAGATTTTTACAAATATCTTATAATCCACATTTAAAAGAGATATAGGTCTATAATTCTTTGGTAAAGTAAGATCTTGATCCTCTTTTGGAATCAAAGAAATAAAAGCACTACGCCATGAAGGAGGAATCTCTGAACCCTGTAAGATATCATTAAAAAGATCACCTAGTGGTTGGATCATCTCCTCCATTAAAACTTTATAGTAAACAGCTGTCAACCCATCCGTACCCGGTGCTTTCCCTAGTTTCAATTGTTTAATTGTTATCGCAATTTCCTCTTTAGTAATTAAGCCATTAATTTCATGTTTCTGATCCTCTGTCAGTTTGGGAAAACTAGCCTCACTTAAATATTTATTTATATCTAAGATTTGCACATTAGTAGATTTGTATAATTTTTGATAATAATCTAAAAAAGATTTCTTAATCAATTCCTTCTGAAAGACTAATTTGCCCTTATAATTTATTTTATCTATTATCCTCTGTCTCTGCTTCTTTCTTAATTGATAGGCCAGCCATCTCCCTGGTTTATTGGCATTACAAAATGTATTTTGTTTCATAAACAATAAGTTAGTTGCAGCTTGATCCGCCAGCAACATGTTAAATTGTGCTCTTAACAACTTTACAGATTCTTTAATATTTTCATCTGAAGGATTTAAAATCAAGGACTTTTCTTTTAACTTAATTTCATCCTCCAATTCTTTACGTTTTTGAGTCTGCCTTCGCTTATGAGAATTATTCATTTTTATCAAAATCCCACGCATAAATGCTTTACCAGCATCCCATACCATTGACATTGAAGTCCCCTTATGCATATTTAAAGCAAAATAATCCTTTAAAGACTCCTTTAGCTTTTGAATATTCTTTTCTTGTCTGAATAAGTTTTCATTCACCCTCCAGGATCTTCTCTCCTCTTTTTCTTGAGTCAGCTCCATCCAAACTGGACTATGATCCGTCAGTGACCTAGGAAAAATCTTTACATTCTTTACTCTATTGTATAAGTCCGTTGTAATAAAAAAAAAGTCAATTCTTGAAAAGGATTGGTGTCTATCTGAAAAGAAAGTAAAGTCTCTCTCCTCTTGATTACATTCCCGCCAATAGTCCCTTAATTCCCAATCTTCCTTCATATCAAAAAAAGCTTTAGGTAATTTTGCCTGTTTAAAAAGAGGAGAAGAACCTTTCTTATCCCTTTGTATATCTAAGACACCATTCCAATCACCCATTAATACCACGGATCTATAGTCCAGCAAAGTTATTTTTTGATGTAGCAATCTATAAAATTGTTCCTGTTGCTGGTTTGGTGCATAAAGTCCCACTATGAGTATTTTCTTACCATACAGACCAAGTTCAATCATCACATATCTTCCTTGGGGATCTGATTCTACCAGACAAGCTGGTAGATTTTGCTTCACATAGATAACCACTCCCCCCTTTTTCCCAGGAGCAGAAGATACAAAGTGAGATCCCAGACGGGCATTAACTAGGTATTTCTGATCTTTAAGTAAAATATGAGTTTCCTGTAGACAAATAACATCATTGTTATGTTGCTTCAAATAGTAAAAAAAATTCTTTCTTTTCTGTGGGGAATTCAATCCGTTAACATTCCAGGTCAGGAACTTTGTCATCTCCCTTGGCCATGAGCCTGGAGAAGACTCCCTGGAGATCTGCCATTCCTGCCTGTATTGCAGAACTCTTAGGTCTTGCTCCTCCCACCCGCGATGAAACACTTTCAGAAGAAGATTCTTTAGCCTCTCTTTTACGTTGCTCCTTCTCCTTACGTCTATAAGCTGCATGGGTCATTCTCTGTTCTTTGACCTCCGTTTGACGTTGCCATTCAGCTTGCAGCATCCCAGCAGAAACCAAACCAAGTGCTTCAGATTGCTCCAACTCTTTGCCACTCAGGGGTTTCTGAACAGATGTAGCTGAGCCTGCACCCAGGACCGTGTTGTAGAACTCTTTGGCTTTATCAACCGTATTCAACCTATAACGCATCCCCGCATGGCTCAGAACAATACCCATCGGGATCTCCCATCTAAATGGCATCAATCTGGCTTTGATCTCATTAGCTAGAAAAGCAAAGTCTTTCCTACTTCTTAAAATTTTTGATGGGATTTCCTTTAGGATGATGATATCTTGGGCAGCAATCTGAAATCTCTTATTATAAAAAACTTGTATAATTTCATTACGCAGAGACTTCTTTGTAAAATAGATCACCACATCTCTAGGCAAATTCTTCTGCTTGGCAATCCAAGAGTTAACTCTGTAAATTTTTTCTACTTCTCTGCGTAATTCTCCTTTATCCATATTCAAAGCAATAGCTAAGTCAGTAAGCACCACCTCCATCAGGTCTTGATTCATATCTTCCTTAAGGCCCCTGATCCTCAGAGCGTACTCCATCTGTCTATACTGGAACATAAGGATATCTTCTTGTGAAGTCTCCATCTTCCTTTCCATATCTTGAAATTTCTCCTCAAAAGAGTCAACTTTATCTGCCACTTCCTCCACTCTTGAGTCCAGCTTCACCACCACTGTAGCCAAGCCTGATACAGTTGCAACTATATCTTGCCGCAAAATGGTGTTATTATCTTCTAGTGAGACCTTCATCCCACTTAACTCTTCCTTAATTTCAGATTTAATCTGTGTAACAAGTTGCTTCATTTCATCTCTAATTTGAGATACAACATCTCCCATTATGCCTTTAATCTCTTGTACTGACGGGCCTGGCAAAGAAGGGGAGGGTGGTGGCTGGGTCGGTGGTACATGTTTAAGTTGTTGTTGTGATTGTGCAATTAAAGCTGTGGGAGAGGAAACCACCTTGGATGTTATAGAAGGCGGCTGTCTCTTTGAAGCCATTTTATATGACGCAGTTCACTCTTCCCTTCTTCCCAAAAAAAAAGAGAGGAGGAGGGAGATAGAATTAAAAAAAAAAAGGACAAAAACACTGTAATCCTTAAAAGTCCAAAGAAAAGAGGAGAAAAAATCCAATACCAGAAACAAAAAAAAATCAAAAGCAGTCATTTAAGTCCAAAACTTTGAAAGCAGAAAGACAAAAGAGAAAAGGAAAAAAAAAGGAAAAAAACTCCGACACTTTTAAAACGCCATCTTTTTTCCTCTCTCCATGCCAGCAAAAAAAAGAACAAAGGAGAGATAATCAAAACTAACTAAAAGAAAGAAATAAAACACTAAACTATATAAAAGAGAATCCTTTAAACTGCTCTGTCCGCTTCGGAGATTACTCACCAAGACGCTGTAAACGCGGAGATAGAGGCGGCGGTTTCTTTTGCTTCAAAAGGAAGCAAAAACAGCTGGGAGGCGGAGATCAGCAGGAGCTCCGAGGGAACACTCCTTCCACCTCCTCTAGGAATAAATCCAGAGGGGGTTCAGGGGTTCTACCTCTACTCCTGCGTTCTCTACCCCTTCCCTTTGCCCGGGAAGGGAATTCCGAACCGCGGGCCAGCTGATACGCGCTGTGCTCCGCGATTCTGACACCTTCCCAGCTGGACGGCTAGTAAGTAGCCGCCATCGCCGTCGCCCCGTACCGGAAGCCTCAGATGTCATTTCTTTTATTGAGATAAATCATTCATGTTTTTGGAATGTTTCACCTGATCAGAGATAAGTGGAAGATAGTAACAGTCTTCCCTCATAATTCTACCACTACTTCTGACCAGCTATATTTTAACTGAGAATTCTGGGAGTTGTAGTCTGAGCACACTGGGAGAGTACCAGACTGGAAAAAGTTGGACTAGGAACTCTTCTATACATTTCAAAGGAACAAATTTGAATGTGTATCTGTATCCAATCCTGATTATCTAATAATTATCTACAGTGCAGATAATTTTATAATTTACATAATTACATCATCAATATATGCTTAAATATATCATATAATATGCAATTTGATGTAGGAAACAGACAACCCATTTAACGTATTATAGTAGCAGATATTATGATGTGACCAGGTCACATTGAGATTGCAAACAAGTAAAAACAGAGGGACTCTAGCAGTGCCACAACTTCCATCTTGTTCTGAACTGCTCCTGCAGACATCATTGTGTACGTATAATGAAATTTTCAAAATCAAAAAGCTGACCTTATAATAAATATAATTTATTATATATAAATAAATAATGTCCTGCATAGCATACAGACTTCAGTTCCCAGAATTCCTACTCAACAATCTCAATATATTTGAAGAAGGCCAGATTGGATAAGACTAAAATAAACTAATTTCATACAACCTTTGCCTAACCAGATCCTACACTATATTGTCTTGTTACATATCTTGTGAACCACCCTTTAGAAACCCAATAGAAAAGAAAGACAAATCGCAGTATGAAAAATATGCATCAAAGCTGAGCAATTATTCTAACATTTTAAGAATATTATTATTATTTTAATACATATTTTCTCACAAGATGACCAATGAACTGTGGGAAATAAGAACTGATTATTTAGTTTGCAGGAATAGTACGTTATAACAAGTTTAGAAATTAATTTATCAAAAGCTGAATATAATGCATATGTACAATAAATGCTTGTTCTCTTCTTTTATTAAAATAGCTTAGACCGCTGGGTTGTAACATCATCAATGTGCCCAGTGACCAGCATGGTATGATTCCAAAAGCTTTGAAAGAAGTTCTTTCCAGGTGGAATCCAGAAGATGTAAAAAAGCTCAGGAATGATACCCCAAAATTTCTATACACAATTCCTAATGGTGGCAATCCAACAGGAGCCTCACTGACAACAGAACGCAAGAAAGAGATCTATCAGGTATAACCATCCAATAAATGGTCTCTATACATAATTTTATAGCATTTAAGATGCAGTTAGGCTTTAGTCTAAAATAAATGACTGTTTATTATCAGCCACATGGGGAAGGCTTGTTCTGAAAATCAGAATAATAATATGCAAACTGAAAGATACACATTTCAAAAGGCAATCTGTAATGTCAGTATATGTTAGATACAAAATAATATTTCCTTGCTTATTTGTGTATTCAATGAGAGAACAAATTATTCCATAAGATTACTTATTTCTCCAGTTTATACTTTTTAAAACCTGGGATTAAATATTTGTTAATTAAAGATGTAATTGAAATATGATATCCTACAGTGTGATCCACTAGCCTTTTGGGCCCAGGGATATATAAATATTTCTAGTTCTTACATATCCAGATCCATATTAATTTTTCTGTGGAAAAGTAACATGCATATGCTTTCTTCGGTTTGGGTAGATTAGGGGGTTTTTTTCAATGAAACAATTCTATCTGATTTCAAAGGTTGAAGTTGTGTATGAGAATACTTTTTAAATCAGTCTTGGGAAATCTATTCTTCTAGAACTTGTTCCAGTCAGTCACAATTGTTAGGATAATCAGGGATTTGAATTAGGGACAAGAGTCATCTAGAGAGTCATTAAAAACCCCACAGCATCAATTCTGCCATAAATCAGATCGTATTATTTCTATTGTTCAAGAATATTTCCTACTGTTTATTTGAATTTACTTCCTTTTTTCTAATTTTTATACAATTACCCTTTTCAAAGTTAGTTAGGTTGAATTGTTCTTAAATTATATTTGGATTTGGATTTGTTTTCTAATTTGTATAATAATGTGCTTTGCCATTAGTGTATATCTCTGTGGGATTCCCATTGTATTCCTTGATTGAGGTTTTGGGAGCCATGTTGATCCCAGCAAGGAAATAGAAACAGACTTTAGAATTCCCCCAACTGATAATAACTGAATGTTTTAACAATAGAAAACAGCTCATTTGGTAACAATAATATATGATTATGAAACAATTGTTTTTATTATTTTGTTTGCATGTATGAATATGAGTGTATATATTTCTTTCAGCTTGCAAGACAATACGATTTCCTTATAATAGAAGATGATCCATATTATTTCCTTCAATTTAACAAGGTAGGTTTTTGTTAATTATTTGTGAACTAGAAGCTACAGCAAAGAATGCATGGATTTGTATTCTTTGGATATTTCTATATAAATTGTGTTATGATTTATCACTACTGTTTCTACAGTCAGTAGAATATTTTTCATTAATTATGATACTGTTTTCAAAGCTACACAAAGTATACCATAGACTTCTGCTACGTATGCATTCAAAGCCTCAACAATATCCTTAAGAAAGTATCATTATGGTTATAGGCTTATATGCCAAGCAATATCAGTTTTTTTTTAATTGAAAAGTTTTACAAAAGTTTACAACAAAACAACCCCAAACCCCCCCACCCCTCCCCTCCCACACTTCCCAGAGCTGAATACAGGGTTTATTCAATATGACAATCATAATCTAAATAACATTAACCAACTATATAAAAACCAAATCCATAATACGCTTTAACTCCCTTTTAACATATAATAAACAAATTGTAAATAAGCATAATAACATAAACAAATTAATATCCTAATTCTTAAACAATACGATATAAGCAATATCAGTTTTTATTAGTTATTTAAAATATGAGAATATATCTGTGATTTCATCCACACACATTTCAATTTAAGAAAAAACACTAAACCAAAACATTCTATTTAGACTTTCTGTATCTTGATAATGTATTACTGTCAAGAGGCATCGTTTATAATGGTGATTCTCCTTTGCCAAATATTCCACTTCTTGTACATAGGTAGTTATACTTTAAATAATTGATGGACTTTTCAGAGTAGATTTGGGGCAGATATTGAGATGGGTGGGGAGTATAATGGGAAATCGTGCTACCTGAATGGAAATGTTGGATGCAGCCCAGTTTTGATGCATGAATAGGTTTCATAATGCATGTACACCTTTTTTTTTTTTAAAAAAAAAAAACTTTTCCACATGTTGTGAGCCACCTTGTACAAGTATTAGTTACTAACAGCAAACCTTTACTTTCTTTCCTGAAGCCTTGGGCACCAACCTTTCTTTCAATGGACATTGATGGGCGAGTTATCAGGACTGACTCCTTTTCTAAGATCCTCTCATCTGGGTAAATTCAACTGCACCATAGCTGGACATTCAATTACATGGGGGCTGGCCAAGCATACACTTGAAAATCCCTAAAGTTACTGGTATAAATTTAATCTGAACAAAGACTTTCATTGTAGTCTTTTTTGAAATTGAATTATATGGTTTCACAGACAAATGCTGTTCCATGTATACATCTTCTATCCTTCCAATTTTCATGACAGTAATCTTTTTCCTGAAACAGTATCAGATATTTTCTTTGTCTTAGTTGTCCAGTTCTATCATTAGTTATCTGATTCCTATTTAATTAACTTTTATAAAATTGGTTTGTTTTTCTCTTCCTGATACTTTCATAATTTGCTTTTGTTGCCTCAAAATGAATATGAATATTAGGATATATATTGTCTTCCACAATTTCAGACATGGCATTTTATGTGTATGTAAGGAAGTATTTTAAGTATATTTTTATTTTTGCACAGGCTAAGAATTGGATTTCTAACTGGTCCTAAGCCATTAATTGATAGAGTTATTCTACATATACAGGTTTCTACAATGCACACCAGTACCTTCACCCAGGTAAGAATTATCATGATATATATAAAGATATGCTCTTAACTTTTAAACACAAACACCAGTATAACATCCATGTATTTACAGAATCGTCTAAAACTGAATGCACTGAAGAAAAGCTTTTCATTATTTATAATTCCTTAATCCTATATAATAGGTATGATTGGCATAATTTTAATAAAAAATTAAGATTTTTCCTATAGAAAAAAGTACCAACAGGATGAAAAGTTAGGCCATTTTAAAAAGAAAATATTCTCTCACTGATTTTATTTAATAGCTCTTAAAAATACTTTATAACTTGTTTACAGTTGTGAGCACTGAAAGCTCTATAACGAGCCCTTTCTCTGTTCCACTTCTATAGCTGTTATTAATAAGGTTATGAACAAGCCAAACTACTAATACTATTAATAGTATTACATATCTACAGTGAGGGAAAAGATTATTTGATCCCCTGTTGATTTTGTACATTTGTGCATTGACAAAGAAATGATCAGTCTATAAGTTTAATGGTAGGTTTATTTTAACAGAGACAGAATAACAACAAAAAAATCCAGAAAAATGCATTTCAAAAAAGTTATAAATTAATTTGCATTTTAATGAGTGAAATAAGTATTTGACCCCTTCGCAAAACATGACTTAGTACTTGGTGGCAAAACTTTTGTTGGCAATCACAGATGTTGTTTGTAGTTATCCACCAGGCTTGCACACATCTCAGGAGGGATTTTGTCCCATTCCTCTTTGCAGATCCTCTCCAACTCATTAAGGTTTTGAGGCTGACATTTGGCAGCTCGAACCTTCAGCTTCCTCCACAGATTTTCTATGGACTTAAGGTCTGGAGACTGGCTAGGCCACTCCAGGACCTTAATGTGCTTCTTCTCGAGCCACTCCTTTGTTGCCTTGTCCATATGTTTTGGGTCATTGCCATGCTGGAATACCCATCCACAACCCATTTTCAATGCCCTGACTGAGGGAAGGAGGTTCTCACCCAAGATTTGACGATACATGGTCCAGTCCATCGTTCCTTTGATGCAATGAAGTTGTCTTGTCCCTTAGCAGAAAAACTCCCCCAAAGCATGATGTTTCCATCTCCATATTTGATGGTGTAGATCAGTGTTTCTCAACCTTGACAATTTTAAGGCATGTGGTACTGCAATTTCCCTTTAAAAATTCTAGAATCAAAAATATGCTTTACTTCGTAGTGAGTTGACTCACCACTATGAGGGGTCCAGGTGCCTTCTTAGGGGGAGGTCTTAAAGTGGATTCTCACAAAGGTTTCAACAAGCTGCAATGGAAGACAGTGAATTCTCCCTAAGAGCCTAGGGAGTTTTAATTCTACTGTGACTGGATTGATGAACCTTACGATGGGGAAAGGCCCCAAGAATTCCGGTCCTAATTTCTTACTGGGTAATTTAAGGCATAAATATTTAGTCGACAAATAAATCTTTTCCCCAACTTGGAATGTTCTTTGAGGGGCTCTCTTTTTATCTGCCTGCTTTTTATAAGTCTTGGAAGTCTTTTTTAAAGCAGCTTTCATGGCTTTCCAAACCTCTTCCCACCCCCTCACCCATTGATCAAGTGTCTGAGAAGTGGAGGGCGCTTGAGGGTATTCAGGTATTGGGCAGAACTCTTTTCCTGTAGCCACTCTGAAAGGCGTGAAGCCAATGCTGCTGTGAACAGAGTTATTGTAAGCTACCTCTGCTGTTGTAGAAATGAGAGACTTGAGTCAGCTCTTTTGGGAAAGGAAATGGTTTATTGCGCAGGTTCAGAGAGCTAATCACAGCAAAAAGGGTCTGAACCCCAAACGGGCATGGGTGAACATTCTTATACCCCTTAATACATAAGTATTTCCTGATCATGAAATATTCCATACATGGTTATATTCTATAGTTCCTTATTCTAACATAGGAAAGCTACTAAGCAGTTTGCAATATATCATGTGCAAAGTTAAAAACAGGATATTGGGCTGATCTGGCACTTCTAAATTTATGTGTCATCTGGGAGACAGGAAACCTCCCTCGCACCCACAGTTTCTGTTAGACAATCAGTATTTTTCCAGCTTCCCACTTTACTGCAAAAGAGAAGAGGTCAGTCCAGTTGGTTTGTTGGTAGGAAATATAACATCTGAGATATTGCTCCACCATCTTGTTAGCGGCTTCCACAGCCCCATTAGTAGACGGGTGAAAAGCAGATGATAGACCTTGAGATGATCCAATTAATTTAAGAAAGCTCCTCCAAAACCTAGCTGAGAACTGCACCCCCCCTTCCGAAATTATTCATTTAGGTGCTCCATGCAGCCGGTAGATATGTTTCAGAAACAATTTAGTCAATCGTTGAGCAGATGGGAGTCCTTTGCAGGTGATGAAATGAGTCTGCTTCGAAAACAAGTCTATCACACTCCAGATGACAATATTTCCTCTACTCTCAGATATATCTACTATAAAGTCCATAGCTATTTCTTCCCATGGATGAGAAGGGTCTGCCACCAGCTGCAGTAACCCAGGGGGCTTCCCTGGAATTCTTTTCATGGTGGCACATACAGCACAATTCCTGACATAGTTTTCCACATCCTGTTTTAGTCCCGGCGACCAAAATTGCTGGCGGATGAGATGTAGAGTTTTTAAATATCCAAAGTGTCCAGCCTGTTTTACATCATGGCTGTGTTTGAGAGCATTAAGGTGGAGGGCTTCAGGCAAGTACAGTTCCCTCCCCCCTTGTAAGCCAAACCATCCCTGCATATTAGGGGGGGTTGATTGTCTTTGAACCATTCATATTAGTAAAGTTGGAAGGGACCTTGGAGGTCATCTAGTCCAACCCCCTGCTCGGGCAGGAAACCCTACACCATTTCGGACAAGTGGCTGTCCAGTCTCTTCTTAAAAACTTCCAGTGTTGGAGCATTTACTGCTTCTGGAGGCAAGCTGTTCCACTGATTAATTGTTCTCACTGTCAGGAAGTTTCTCCTTAGTTCTAGGTTGCTTCTCTCCTTGATTAGTTTCCACCCGTTGCTTCTTGTCCTCCCTTCAGGTGCTTTCGAAAATAGCTTAATTCCCTCTTCTTTATGGCAGCCCCTGAGTTATTGGAATACTGCTATCATGTCCCCCCTTGTCCTTCTCTTCGTTAAACTAGACATACCCAATTCTAGCAACGGTTCCTTATATGTTTTAGCCTCCAGTCCCCTAATCATCTTTGTTGCTCTTCTCTGTACTCTTTCTAGAGTCTCAACATCTTTTTTACATCGTGGTGACCAAAACTGGATGCAGTATTCCAAGTGTGGCCTTACCAAGGCATTGAAGAGTGGTATTAATACTTCACGTGATCTTGATTCTATCCCTCTGTTAATGCAGCCTAGCACTGTGTTGGCCTTTTTGGCAGCTGCAGCACACTGCTGGCTCATATTTAGGTGATTGTCTACTAGGACTCCGAGGTCCCTCTCACAGTTACTACTATTGAGCATGGTGCCACCTATGCTGTACTTGTGCATTTGGTTTTTCTTGCCTAAATGTAGAACCTTGCTTTTTTCACCATTGAATTTCATTTTGTTAGTTAGTGCCCAGTGTTCAAGTCTGTCCAGATCCTTCTGTATCTTAAGCCTGTCTTCTGGAGTGTTGGCTATTCCTGCCAGCTTGGTGTCGTCTGCAAATTTGATGAGTTCCCCATCTATCCCTTCATCCAAATCGTTGATGAAGATGTTGAAGAGTACTGGGCCCAGAACAGAGCCCTGGGGCACCCCACTACACACTTCCCTCCATATAGATGCAGTTCCATTGAGGACCACTCGCTGAGTACGGCCGGTCAGCCAGCTACGGATCCATCTGGTGGTGGTTCTGTCTACCCAACATTTTTCTATCTTGTCAAGTAGTAGGTTGTGATCTACTTTATCAAATGCCTTACTGAAGTCCAAGTAAATTATGTCCACAGCATTCCTCTGATCCACTAATTTTGTCACTTGGTCAAAGAATGCAATAAGATTTGTCTGGCATGATCTATTTTTGACAAACCCATGTTGGCTTTTAGTAATGACTTTGTTTGCCTCTAGGTGTTCGATTCGTTGTTTGATTATCTTTTCCAGGATCTTCCCAGGTATTGAGGTCAGGCTGATAGGTCTGTAATTTCCTGGATCCATTTTTTTTCCTTTTTTGAGGATGGGAACTACATCAGCTCTTTTCCAGTCCTCTGGTAGTTCCCCTGTGTTCCAGGATCTTTGAAAAATATAGTTCAGTGGCTCCGATATCACATCTGCCAGTTCCTTGAGAACTCTGGGGTGTAATCCATCTGGTCCTGGCGATTTGAACTCATCTAGGCTGGACAGGTGCTCACTAACCATTTTCTTGCCTATCTTAACTTGTGTTTCTGTTTTGTTTTTTATGGCACTAGTTTTGATAGGTTGGTCTGTTTTTTCCCTTTGTGTAAAGACAGATGCAAAAAATGAGTTAAATAGTTTGCTTTCTCCCTGTTGCTTGTCACCTTCTTGCCACTTCCACCCACTAATGGACCAATCATTTCCTTCACTTTTTTCTTGTTTTTTACATGTTGAAAGAAGCTTTTTTTGTTATTTTTGACTTTGGTCGCAAGCCTTAGTTCATTTTGAGCCTTGGCTTTCTTCACTTCTTTGCAGGCTCGGGCTATTTGCTGATATTCTGACTTAGTTATGTTCCCCTCTTTCCACTTTCTATACTTGTCCTTTTTATCTTTCAATTTGTCAGAGAGTTCTTTATGCAGCCATGCTGGTTTCTTTTGAGAGCTGTTGTTTTTCCTCTTTGTTGGTATTGTGCTAGACTGTGCTTTTATTATCTCATTTTTCAAAATTTCCCAAGCTTCTTGAGTTGTTTTCCCCTTGAGGATTCTCATCCATGGAATCCTTCCCAAGCCCTCTCTAAGTTTATTGAAATTAGCTCTCTTGAAGTCCAAGACTCTAGTTTGACTGTGTTCTATTGCTTGTGCTTCTATAATGTTGAATTCTAATATTGCATGATCACTTCCTCCCAGGGTTCCTATGGCTTCAACACCTT